TTATTTTTGTAAATTTTGTAAAGCTTGGCTCTGTATGAGTCACAATATTGAGTTGTGGAGAATGTGTTCAGCACCGGTCCGAAGTCCGGTACTGTCAATTCACGTCAATGCAGTTTCTGCAGTGGCGCAGTAATTTTCAATTTATATCTGTATTTATATCTGTATTCATTACTTCTTTTTATAATGGATTATTCTAACTATAAAGCCAAAAAGCATGATTTTTGCATTAGTCAGTTTTTTTGTGCTTATAATCAAAAGTAAATATATTGTTTGGGGTGAAAAATTGTTATATTTGAGTTGGTCCTAATAGACTACCCCCGTGTATGGGTGTCAGTCTGGCTGAGGTTGTTCATCGGAGTGTTAGAAAGATCGGTTTATGATATTTTGTTTCATTTTTTGAATGAATCACAGTGTTTTCATATCTCAATCGTTCTTCATCCAAGTGTATGTGAAATGTTGATCTCCAGCAAAGTATTTTCACAGATAATAGTGTGAACTAGCTTTATGGATCCAAGTGATGACTGAGGAGAGAAAATCTATGACACATTGTTTCTCCATCAGAAAAGGGATAGTAATCTACGTGAATGAAATTTGTGGAGCTGACTAGCAAACCAATTGACATGTCAGCGAGACTACAGTATTGTCAGAAGAATCGGGAGAAAATACAGAATGTTTTAATGATATTGTGGTTACTTTTGGCGTCCAGAACCCATTTTTGGCAGAAAAAAAAATATTTGTCCAACATTTTCACAGTAGAAATGATTCCAGCCATGTCACAAAACATCTGAAAAAAAATATATTTCTAATTTTTTTTGACATCTATCAGAGAACTTCAAAAATGAAAGCAGTCTTAGTTGAATTGATTTTTTTTATTCTGAAGACGAAGGAAGCCATTATTTAATTCGACAAGTTACTGATGAATGATGCATTTTTTTGTGAGGATTAAATTTTGATTCAAGTAGTAACTTTCCAGGGTGAACGGAAATGTTGTGTTTCTATATCTGTTCAATGTTCTCTAACACCAATTTTATTGTATTGAGAATGGGGAAGGTGAAAATAACAATAAAAATGTATTACAAACAACAAGGGCTCCAGTTGGGAAATTTATTGTGAACCGTGTATACCAGAGGCGAATTTTGACTGTTCCTGGAACACCACACAAGTCGAGTTTTAGTCGATTTACTTCCTCGAGTCAACCAGATGCCTCTGAAATACACAGAATTATGGAAATCTGGCTCCATAACAGTGTTTTTATTATTGTTCATCCACATAATTTTGGAGAGATGATTTCCATTTCCTATATTTCGACAGAGACGCCCAGCGTCTGTAGGCGAGCGTCATACTAACGTCACGAAACGCCCTCCCAGAAAATCAATACGAGAAAAACATTCCTTCACAGTTCACGAATTTGGGGTGCCAAGTCTTTAGTGGCTTTCTTCGACATGGTCGTGGACATTTTCCACTGCAACTGGCATCGCCGTTGCAGAATTCATTTATTGTTAATTCAATTAAAGTATCAATAAATACACCCCACGAATTACATTCGTGATGATTTGATCATTTATTAATTATGTTTACGTCACCTTCATGACGTTCATTTTTGAATGTCATATATACATTTTTTTCGTTATTGAAATATTCAGTATAACATTGAACTTCATAAATATGTCTCGAATCAAATATATTGTTTCAATCTGAGGAAATTACGTATTTGCTTAATCAACGGAAAAATCTGCATTTTTGCTGAATCAAAAAATAAATAATCTTAATATTGTTGAGAGTCAAAACAAATTATTATTATCAAGTATATTTGATAGTCGAAAGTATGACGTATTTTAGGAGTTTATCTACTTTTACGTTCTTCATTGGACACACATTTTCTAAAATGAACGAACCACAATTAGAGTAGTAGTATTTTGATGGTGGTTATGGTAGGACAAAGACTAGGACTTCCATCGAGTATTCATTATGAATATCCGGTGGATATCCGTAATGTATACCCAAACAGTTTTCATTGCAGACATCTATGTAATATCCTCTTCGAGTGTTACATAAAGCTCATTAATTAAATATATATTCATTCCAGAGAATATGATACAACCCACACACAAGAATGAAATATCAAATAAATTTCGAAACGTGAGAAAAAAATCAATGCAAATACAACGATATATTTTTTTTTCATTTGGTTGTGATGTTTGAAGATGTTTTTGTCGCTTTCTGAATTCCATTGTTCTCCTTGACAAAGATTGTTTCTTTCTGATGCTTCTGCAGAATTAATTATAGGAATAATTGACAGACTTTGATAGAATTCAATTTGTTGTGAAGAAATAAGGACAATAGTTATCAAAAAAAGTTATCAAAATGAGACACAACTGTAAAATATTCTATTCTCAAGCTTTTCTTTTCTAATATTCAATTTCGAGTAGAACTTTGGCATATATCCCAGGCATATCCAAAAAATATTTTTCAAAGAATTAATATACCATGTCTGTTGAAAAAATAAGTTAAACCACTGAAAAGGCTCATCAGTAAATTTTCCCTACATATCAAATAATTGATGAGAAAAAAATGAAAGGTAAGAAATTAATTCATGTGAATGGTTTAGGTTCCGTACCCTAAAAATTCACTTCTCTATTGATTTAGCTTCAGTTGAACACCCAGAAAAGCAAAAAATATCAACAGAACTTCTTCACGGAAAGTGTCTTTCAAAGATGAAATATTTTTCGAAATTCAACATTATATTATATATTATGATAGATGAGCGCCTTATAAAAATTACTAGAAACAATTGTCAGAAGTCGAAACAAAAATATGTGTATATTTTTAATACATATTAAACTTTAGTTAGCAGTCTGACTGTCATTGTGGACTGTTAAAAAATAGTCACACTCTGGACTTTATCTGATCTAACCTATAGAATAATGAAGGCTATACTGGACGTTGTTTTTACTTTAATTTACAAAAACCACAAGAAAGTACCCAAAAACCTTTAATATACCTTCCGAATAGACGGTACATCAAAACCTGCTACCTTTTCTAGTTTGCACAAGAGCTCTCAAAATCGCCTCCAGAGTCTCTTGGTTTTCTTTGAAAGTAGCTTTCATATCAGCAACTGTTCTAGTAAGCACATCTATCTTCTCATTTCGCATTTTCACCTCTTCTTGTAGCAGCGCTAACTGAACAGCAGTCTCGCTCTTATCCTGTCCATTTAAATCTTGATTGATCCAATAGTAGTTCAATCCATCATTCAGAGTATGAAGATAGTGGTGAAACGGACCATATTTTTCCGCTACATGAAATGCCGCCCTCATGATCTCCTTTGGGAGCCGTTTCTCCAACGGATTCAAAGGTTTCAGGTTCAACACAACTTTGGAGGGCTGTGGTGACACCAAAGCAGTCCAACGCAAGAGTTTGATGAGATATCTCGGTAGGTTTCCGTTGAACAGACCGAGCTCGATTTGAGAGATTAACTTGGTTTGGCGAACGAGTTTGCACAAGGTAGCAGTCTTTTGCAGACCTTTGATGTCATCAACAGCTATGCCCACGAGTAGATTCATCAAAATAATGGTAGCAGAGAAAACGAATATGACGTAAGTGACTTGGGCGCTGATTTCCAGAAGAAAGTGTGGACTCTCAGGGTTCGGTTCGACGAGGATATCGAGATTGAGCTCCCCGGAAAGCATCACTATTATAGTCACCAGGGAAATGAACGGATTCGCGAAGTTATCTGAGTCGGGAAATATAACGCAGAAAGTCAAGGTGAACCCGATCAACAATCCAGAGTAAGCTAAAAGCAGCTTGGCGAATTCGCTTTGCACTCTGGTATACATAGCGACGTAAGAGCCTAGTGAAGGCAACTGGCCTACCATGAGCATCAGATTTGTCCAACCAAGCAGCACAGCGAAGGCTCCAACGTGGTTCTGCCAAGTGTATGTTCTGCCAGTGTATATGAAAGAGATCACAAATACACTCGCAATAACAAACCATTCAATGATATTTTCCGAGTAGGAAAAATACTGCCTCACGGAGTGATAGCCGCTAATACCATAAAGCTTTCTGAAAATCTCACATATAGTTATGCCAACCAATACAAACCACTGCATCTCGAAAGCAAAGGGGTTATCTCTGAGGAGCTTGCCCATTATCGAGCTCTTCTCACAAAGATCTATCAGTTCCTCTGCGTCCATTTCCGCGAAGTTTTTTCCGTAGTTATAACAGTGATGAGCCAGGGCCGTGAGTACATACAGTGACAAGCTGAGGACGAATATGCAGGAGAACATAATTCTTGCAAGATAGTATTTTCTGATCTTCTCCCATTTGAGGTGTAGCAAAGCAGAGCACAGGGGATGTAGCAGTACTTTCTTATAGCCTTCATCGATGAGGGTGTCCAAGAAGTTAATTTCTCTTGGGTAACAGTACTTCAGGATAACCGCGAAGTCCAGCCTGAGCTCTAGTTCTTGATTGGATGATTCTTTATGGTGCAAGCTTATGGCGGAATCCAACTTCTTTGTGAACATGGAAAACGAAGCTGGTACCTTTTTGGTAATGATGTTCAGCGCAGTGACCCCGGACTTTGACTTGGCGGTTACATCTGCTCCGTGGTATATCAAGGTTTCCACACACTCAGCTAGTCCTTTCAGAGCAGCAATATGGAGAGGTGTGTACCCGTACTGATCCTTTACGTTAACCTTCCCACCGCAAGATACTAGGCTCTCGATAATATCGCTAGATCGAGTTGACTTAGCCACGGCTGCATGCAGAGGAGTTCTCTTGTCGTAATCTTCTGTATTGGGATTTGCGTACCCTTTCTTCAGCAGTAGCTCCACGCACATGAAGTCCTGAGTCCTAGCAGCAAAATGAAGAGGACTTTGTCCCATGTGGTTCTTCGCATTAGGATTGGCACCCTTTCTGAGTAATAAATCCACACAGTCGCCATAGCCTCTCATGGAGGCTAGGTGTAGGGGTGTCTGCTGTTTTTCTGGACTTCTGATATTGACATCAATGCCTTTCACTTCCAGTAGTATCTGGAGGCACTCAGTGTTGCCAAGGTCAGCCGCCAGATGTAGAGGTGCAGAGCCGGAGAATTCCATTTGTTTCACATCGGCTTCTTCATTCACTAGTACCCTCACGCATGACACAGCGTTTGCTCTAATTGCACAATGAAGAGCGCTTTCTTTGGGCTCGTAAGGACTGTTTGTTAAATCCGCTAACCTAGCCCCTTTGTGAAGGAGTATGAGGGCTGTATCAGGGCTATCACCAAATGCAGCGCAGTGGAGAGGGGTGTAGCACTTGAATAGAGCATTGACGTTGCAACCTCTGTTGATCAAGAACTGAGTTCCGGGAATGCAACCACTAAACGCTGCTAGATGTAGAGCTCCCAGTCCTTGGGCTGGTTCGTAATAGTTCAACTGGGCTCCCAAACTCACTAGTTGTTCCAGAATGTCCCAACGCATCGAGAAAGACGCCCAGAGAAAGCTGACATTGATTTCAACCTGGCTGGCGCCTCTGAAACAATCTAGGAAATTATCCTGGTGAATTGTTCTGTTCTGAATCCCCTCTAGCAGTTGTGTTCTTCCGGATCCCATCTTCATGTGATCGATGAGATTACCTTCGATGGTGTTGTAGCACATTTTAACAACAGTGCCGGTTTCGACTTCATCAAAATTGTCGTAGACGAAAGGAGTTTGGTCTACTGGTGGAGAGGGACCGCAATCGATGAATTCATCTTCGTGGGAAGAGGTATTTCTTTGAATGGTTATTCTTCTCTGGCTGCTCCTCAGAGGGATGCTGGATTCGTTGACTGTTCTCGCTGTTTGTTTCCATCGTAGGTTTTGGAGGACAGTCCATAAACTCCGTTTTTCCTAGAAAACAATGAATTTTTTAAATAGATACGCTTAATTATTACTTGTCAGAGCGGGGTCGAGAATATTCAGAGAAGAGATTGATATCGATACTTCTTGTATATAACAATCTACAACTCAAGTTTGGTTTCGAGGGAAACAAACTATTACAAACAACATCAGATTTGACCGAAATTCCTTTCTCAACTGTACGGAAAACAGTCAAAAACGAATCTAATGAACGCAAGACGCGATGTGATACGAGATTATCAAAACCTTTGGATGTTCATCTAATAAAATCATTGACAAAAACAATATACGACTGTTACAAAAACAATGAGATTCCTACAACTGAAATAATAAGGAAGAAATTGAATACTTCCGGCTATAACGTGAGCTGCTCAACAAAACTCTTCAGAATTGGATAAAGAAACTAGGATTTAGATTTGAAATAATAAACAAACGTCAAGCAGTTACGTAAATCAAAAGAATAGTGGAATTGCGCAACAAATACTTGGAACAAATAACTAAATATTGACAAGAACAACGGCAAATTTTCTATTTGGACTAAATTTGGTATGACACTCACGACACAGTTACGAAATGGTTGACTGATGGTTGGAGAATGTGTACGCCTCACATGCCTGCAAACAAAGGATCGCGACTAATCATTGTGCATTGTGGAGGAAGTAAAGGCTTATTGTTGGTGGCTCTCTAGTACTAGCTCCTAGGTAACACGTTGTCTGTTCAAGGCTAATAGGTCTTGTCTATTATCAGTGCAGATTGTTATGTTTTTGCCAGAAATTCCTTTCCTGATTATTTTTTTGTGACGATTGAGATACCAGCCAGTTCTGTTCGAACCAGGCTGGTATTTTCACTCATTCTCCACTTAATCATTAGACTTAGTGATCGGGAGTAAACTCCACATCCTGAGCCTTTCTGCCAAAAATGGGAGGAACACTTTTTATTCCAGTATGACCCAGGTGGTGGGACACGTGGCTTTCTCACTGTCTTTTAAACGATTTCATTTAGCTTGCCCTGTTTGTTTGTGTCTGTTCAAAAAGATACAAATTCAAGATAGCAGCAGCTTCAAAATGTAATACTGAGACACTTCCTGTCAACAGGAAGGGGGTCAAACTTTATTTACAGAATTTGACACAAACAAACAGAGCAAGGGAATCATTTTCTAGAACTTTCATTACTTTGGCTTTTGACATCCTTTCTGAAACGAATGTTTCATTTTGATGAAGGCTTTTTGGCTTTCTACTTTTCCATCATTGAACAAAAATATGGGATACTTTCAGAGGAAGTAAGTGATGAAGCCATTGTATGGCGAAACACGTGTTGCGTTTTTGTAAAACAATTTAGTGAAAATCTCACAATAAAGTGTTTTTGGAATACGTTATCTTTTTTCCAATTCAGAGGTTTTTTTAATCACTTCAAAATCTGACAGGAACTATTACAGGGCTGAAGATCAGGGATCTGTCACGGAAATGTATTAATTATGTTTCCATTCATCAACCCTGTATTGAAAACATACATATTTTTTTGTTAGATCATTATTCTAGGATCTTCAATATTATTATGAAATCCCGTCTAATTACAAGTGGTATCTATTCGACAGATGCACTTATAAAATAGTCATACAAATTCAATGGCCTAAATTTCGTATGTCACTTTGTATATTTTATATTATTTTATTTGGAACCATTTTATTATGTGTTTAGATAATTTTCAAATTGTTGTGAATTGTGCTAAAATATTACATTAACTCTCTTGCTTTCTACTCTCCTATACTCACCATATTTTTCCTCAATTGCAAAACGTTCTACACAAAACTTCTTCAATACCTGAAATGATTGAAAAGGTTATTAATTTGTGTAAAAGAACCAGAAATAGTAAAAATAATCGCTCAATTACCAGGTAAATAATGAAAAATCGAAAACTGTTATTTCATATTGCTCCCAATTCAGGTAATGTTTTCCAAGGGAATATATATAAAAGACGATTTTTTGTATATAATTCATTATTATACTAAAATCAATAGTTCAATGATAACTTTTCAAAAAGCTGAAAGGTGCGAACTCGTTTCCTCTTTTTCATAAAAGAGGATGTATGCATCTCCACTCACAAGTGATTTGGATGAACTACGACACAAAAGAGGAGGCGATAATGCTTAATCGGATTTGGAATCCCATACTAAAATATGCTAAGGTGGTAGCAGTGCAAAGCAATGTAACAGGTAATAACACTTCGAACTATAACAACGCACCTAGAAACTAGAAAGGCAGGCTACCTGTGTCAACATGAATACAGCTTACGAATTAACCTTCAAACCCGAACACTGAACATTGCATGTAGATTTAGTTTATTCTTCCTCTTGAAGATGATCACTTGGGGATCAGAACACGTGTTTGGTGTTGGGATAGAACTCCAGTTGGTACTAGTCTTTTCTAGATGTTGATTCCAGGTCAACCTAGGATTTAGTATCACTCCCAGATATATGTTTCTTCACTTAGAAGTTCAATGAGTTATAGGCCTCTGTGTTGTCCAGAAGACGTAGTAGCTAGTCCATTATAAGTTTCTTTGATAGTGAGGATAAAACACCCCATGGGGTCTACCACTTGCTACTACTATTTCTCCTTCATTGATTGTTCATACTAAACAGAAAGGTCATATTTTCACAATAATTCATTCTGTAAGGACTCAATATATTCGAGTGACACTTCTTTGAGAGATTTCCACCAGATAATATACAAAAACCGCAATACCTGTTTCGCTATATGAAAGCTTCCTCAGGCGTGTTCGTACAAAGAGTCAATAGTCTGTTTAGGTTGGACGAAAGCATTATAATCTTCTCTAATACAAAATCAAATGTTCATTTTTTATTTATTTATAGAAATTACTTTTGCTGTTTGAAATCACTACTGATTCAATATTGTACTTCAACAACCTTGGAAAGACGACATAGTTTTCGAATGAGCCACATCTACGACTATATTAGTTGTGTTTCAAATAAAAAAAGTAAATATCTTTTATTTAAAATTACCCAACAGGAAACATATGAACATATTTCAAATCTATTTTGGATTAGATGATATTATATGTGGATATTTGACACTTCTATAGACGATTTTTTGTCAAGTTCCTTCAATTTATTAGGGAATTTATTATTTTTTCGCTATTTACTAAGTTTTCCCCCAAGAGTTATTGAAAGAAATAATATTCGACATTGAACTCACCTTTGAAAATATGTAGATGTTTTATCACAACAATTGAGACTGCGGACTGGATTTGACAAAAATGTTATGGTACTGTTGATTCAAGCAACCATAAACTCCTGTGATAATTCAGATTTAATGATTTTATAAATCCCAAGATACAACATTATAAAGATTTGATAAAAACAACTACGAATTGCTTACGTTTTTCTTTCAACATTTGTATACGTTTTGTGAATATTGGTGTAGAAGATCATTTAATCGAATATTGAGCCTCATCAGTACAGTGAAACTCCAATACTTGTTGCGAAACAGGCACAAATAAACCGAGTCAAGAACAGACTAAAACGACTAAAATTGATATGGAGGCAGCTATAGAAGTTTAAAAGGAACTTTTGAGTTATCAAAAGTTAGGCACACAAGCAACAATACTTTTGTATTGGGGAAACACTGAAAAATGTTCGAACTGATGAAAAAAAACATGTTTAGAATATATCATTGTCAGTTTTTTTCTGAATAATGTGATACTAAAAAGAGGTTTTTTGCACCAATATTTTAACAAGTACGAAATCTTCTTTTTCAACGGAATCTTTTGAGAAGTTTCTGTTTCCATACCTAAGGAGAATGCAGAAGTTAATAGATTTTGCACACACGGTATGTGATGAGAAGATTGAAAGAAAAGCTATGTTCTTTAGAAAATTCATGATTTTCAGTCATTTCAGGTATTTTTATGAAAAATGAGTAATAAAACTGCAGTGCTACTATGTCAGGTTCTCATTCCTATATTTGAAATGCAATAGCTAAACATACTGGAATAGATACTGAAGAAAAACCTAACCCTCCAACCAACAAAATAGGGCACTGCAAGTATTGCAAAAAAAACTCGCTATTTTTGTGAATTTTGTAAAACTTGGCTCTGTATGAGTCACATACTATTGAGTTGTAGAGAATGTATTCAGCATCGGTCCTGAGTCCGATACTGTCAATTCACGTCAATGCAGTTTCTGCAGTGACACAATAATTTTCAATGTTTTATTAAAATTTTGTTTTTGGTTCTTATATTTCTCCAATTGACGAATTGATTCATCTCTGTATTCATTACTTCTTTTTATAATGTATGTCACTTTGTATATTTTATATTATTTTATTTGGAACCATTTTATTATGTGTTTAGATAATTTTCAAATTGTTGTGAATTGTGTTAAAAAAATTCAGTAACTCTCTGCTTTCTACTCTCCTATACTCACCATATTTTTCCTCAATTGCAAAACGTTCTACACAATTTTGTAACTAAATTTCCTGTAGTTCCATCCTATAAGGGTATTTTCAAACTGATACAATAAACTGAAATAATTAACAATGTTAACCCTTATACATGTAGGGTGTCAATTTGGTTTCAACACAGACACAATCCAGAATTCCCTCAGATCAAACAATCAGAAATCAAGAAATTTGTAATTCTATCATATTTTGGTAAAAGAACAGAGATAACTGCGGGGTTTTTCGGAAAAAAATAATGTGGAAGTGCTATTTAGGCCACATGCCAGATTATCTAATTTAGTTTTTAATGCCAAAGATGAAATAGACAAAGATGGATAAATCTGGAGTTTATAAGAGTCCGGAGTTTAATAGTGTTTATGTGCGACAATGTGGGCGACATTTCCTCAAACGGAATGCTGAACATCCATCTGATGTAGACGTTAGCAGTTATTTTGGCAAATTTCTTGAAGTTTTGTGGTGGAGTTGGCCGATATTCAATGGAAATCCACTATAAGGTATTTCAATACTCAAATAAGATAT